ATTCATTGTGCCAGCACCTGTAAAACTTTTGATGTGACTAAATGGTTCAACCACGTCGAATGTGCTCATATAACACATAAAAATATCCTACCATTTCCACTCTCAATTTTGAAGATTGAAGATTTGAAGATGAGATTTTAGTTGAAATTTCAATTACACATTTTTCACTCTTTTAACATATTTAGTTCCCAAAACATCTCTTTTACACGTGTAATGTTGAATTACATCCAACGGAAACCCTTTTGTCACATTCTTAATTATAAACAACGTTCAAGTCGAATTAAGGTTACATAATAAGCGAAAAAGATATGTTATGAAGATCTTAGTTTTGGTATATGATCTGTCAGTTTATATGGCAGCTACTTATGCTATAGTGGTCTGGAGATTATGCCATTGTATTTGACAATAATTCATGCCAAAATTCATGAAGATAGTTTGTATTGCGGCTATATTCTATGGTGTCTCATTTTCGACAATTGTGACATATGGTTAGCTTCTTGGAGAGAAAACTGCGTATGCAACCCTATATCGTTTCCCTTTGGACTTTACAAACTTATATACATTAAAATATGCGTCAACATTAACACCACGTCACTGCCATCAATTTCGCAATGAAAAGTTGCCGAGGCAATACTTCCAGACTTTCGTCAAACTAATGAGCACGTTTTAACTGCCTTTTCATTTGCCTTCGTCACATTTGTAATGTCACAACAAATTTTTCTCCAAATAAATAATGAGTAAAGCAACAAGAATGGAAAGCAAAGCAATGAGCACACAAAAGACATACGCAAACCGACGAAATGCAATAAAAAGTCGAAAGAACTTGGTAGTGATTCTGTAAGTAAAACGAAAGAAGAAGCTCTAATGAAAATGAGAAATTGCATGGCAGCGCAGTCAATGCCAAAGTGCCAACGCAACCGCTGAAATTAGCCGCCAACATTTTGTAACATAGCCGCTGAATAGTTCCGTCATAGCCAAGAGGCGAACACCACCTCGCTTTTGCCCCACTCCGGCAGCACACTTTTTATGCTTAAAATTATGCGCCGTCTTGCAGTGCAACGCAGGCTGTGGGTGCTCGCTAGCACTCGGCACTGTGGGCGTACACAATGTGGGCGTAAACCCACATATTTGTCGTACATTTTCGTTTCCTTTAACATTTGCATATATGTATGTATTGTTTGTACTTCCTTTCGGTTATTTGTGCGTTCTGACACAGTCACAAGAAAAAAAAATCGCAACTAAGTAGGAGCAGCATCCGAATAAGACATTACCAAGTGTTAATAAACGAACAAAAGGGTTTTCATAAACATAATAATTTAAATGTCGTTGACATTAGACGAACGGAACTATTTCAAGAACGGAAGTAATTGTTGGTTGATAACTCTTATTTACACGAAACTGCAGAGCATTATTTAAATATGCAGGCGGCAGAGAATAATAACAATGAAAACTTGGTTATTGCATTTTTGCAATCAAAACAAGGTGATAAAAAAGAACTGGTTAATAATGTTGCCCGTATCTTTAATAAGCTATCGTTCCATTAGAGTGTTGCACAGTGTGAAATGTTGAAAATGAATTCACGATTTTTTAATTTTTTTTATTAAATATAAGGTGATTATGAAAAATTCGAAAACTTTAAACAATTGTTTCGCAACACAGTGCTTATTCGACATTATATCTAGACTACGCTTCGCCCAATTCACTTAAAGTTTTTGAGATATCGATCGAATATTTTGCACAAGACCTTTCCTCCCCAAGTAATACTAATTTGTTGGAATCCACCGCTCTAGCATATATCTGCCATACAAACTGATATATCTAAATCAAATCCTTGTATGAAAATCTTTTTTATTTGACAAGACATCTTCATGAAATATGGCATAGATTATGGGGCAAAGCAAGGCTACAATCACCAAACATATTATTCGAATCGGACCACTATAGCTTATAGCTGCCATAAAAACTGACTGATCAAAATCAAGATAACAGCCTTTTGTGCTATCAGAAATGCATCTATGAAGGGTATTTTATCCTCGGTGAAGCCGAAGGTGGTTTTTTTTGTTTTTCTTTGTGATAAGCCAATTAGCCTGCGGCATGGAAGTTATTCCTTTGGTCAATATATCACTAAGCTGCACAGCTTAGAATGATACCACTGGTTTCAATTCAAAAACACCTTAACCATTTTTAGTAAGAAAAGTCAAAATTAAATTAAGAAAATTCAGCATGAAGTCATCAAAAAGGTAATTTTATGGCTTTAACTTCTAATTAGCAAGATAATACCACCTTTATAGGCATACAAACAAACAAACCTAATATTCTCTCAAGCATAAACGCCGAAATCACCAAACATTGATCAAAAGTAAACATTAACCAATTGTTGGCCTTACTGGGTAAACAATAACAATAGCAAAGTTGCTGATGAAGGAAAGAGCAAAGCAGCACAAAACGTAGCAATTGCCCACACAAATGAACGCAGGGTTGCAAAAAGCCACACAGTGTGTGTGCGTCCTCATATTCCCACACATATTGTTTAAGTCCTTAATTGTTGGTTGTTAACTTGTTGTGTAAACATGTTAATTAAACTAAAACAATTACAGCTATGAACTTGACTTGCACAATGAAAACACCGCACATTTAGTGCCTCGGTTTGATTAGGAGGTAGAAGTTGGTACTTATTGCGATTGACCATTTGTTGTTGAGGGCGAATGTTTACACAAGCAGATAAAATATAAAGTGAGAATTGAAAAAAAAATTATAAACATCTATTTTGTGTTGCAATAAAATAAATCTATAAATATAAATCAATTGTGAAGAGTGTAAGAATGTTGATTCTCATATCTGTTCTGTTCTTCTGTTCTTTCTATGTAGAGAAGGTTAAGGTTTAAATTAACTTTTATTTTTGTTATATGCTTACAAAAATCAGTAATTTCAAACCTAAAATAGGTATTATTAAATATCTCAATATTTTATATTGAGACTTAAGCCGTATTTGATTTGCCGTTTCTCTACTTCTTTTAACAAATTTACATGTAAAAGCATTAACAAAGTTAGCAAATTGAATTCGAAATAAGAGAGTAAGCGGCTACCTCATTAAAGTGGTATAACCATTATCTACAATGCTACCAAATTTATGTTTTACATAATGTAAACCAGTTTTTCCACTGTGAATGGCTCAAATAACAAATTAGTCTTTATTATGAAAATAAAAAAAATGTGTATACTCTGAAAAGGGTATATTAAGTTTGCCATATTGTTTGTAACACTCAGAAAGAAACGTCGAAGACCCTATAAAGTATATATTATATAAATACAACTGATCAGCGTGACAAGCTGAGTCGCATTAGCCATGTCCGTCTATCTCTCTGTATGTATATACGCGAACTAGTCTCTCAGTTTATGAGATATCGATCTAAAATTTTCACACATTCTTTCTCTTCAGGAACTTGCTCATTTGTTGGAAACAGCGATATCGGATCACTATAAGATATAGCTGTCATACAAACTGAACAATCAAAATCACATCCTTGTAGGGACCACTTTCTTATTTGACAAGATATCTTCACGAAACCTGGCATATATTATTTCCTAAGTTAGAACCACAATTTTTAAACAAATACATGAGATCGATTCACTGAAGCATATAACCACCACATATTCGATCGATTAAAATCAAGTAAAACATCTTCAAAAGAGATTTATTTTCTTATTTTTTCCTTAGTAAAAATTATTGAATATCTTAATATCTTATATTGAGACTAAATAATCCATATTCGCATGGTTTTTCATATTATCGCAATTCATCATTTATATTCAAAGATATATTATGTCAAGCCAATGGCTGGCAATAAAAGCTTATTTGGCAATCGCGGCCAAGATTATTACAATCAAACGTTTTATATTACAAAGATTTGCCTAAGATTTATTTAAAACATTTTTATTAACAATAAAGATCATCAATTAAGACGACTAAGTTCTGCTTAGCACACCGACCAATTATAAATTCTAAATACAAAATACACGCCAACGCTTAAACTAATACATCCAAAGCCGCACAAGGGACAACAAAGCAAATTATAAATTATTAGCCTCTTCCTTTTATCACACTGTGAGCAAAAACAAAGAGTATTTTACCGTAAAATTAACCGCAAACACAGTCAGAAGACCATGAACCTTACCGCAGGCACGATGTACATATTTATGTATAGATTTATATATGTACTTATACTTATACATACATATGTATATATGTGTGTCTACAGCCCGCTTAGCAACATCCTCTTGCCTTAGGCATTAGACGCATTGGCAAGTAAACACACCTTTTCGCACTTCAACAAAACAGTCTCTCGTTTCCGGCCCATTTATATTAATTACCATGACAACAATTTCGACTAGCAAATGCGCATTTGCCGAGAGGTGCCAAAGGGTTCAGTCGTACGAGTGCTAAAAGACTAACGAGTCGTTCGTAGACTGACAGAATAACTTTGTGACCACTTAGATAGAGGCCCTAACAATCTTCCTTCGAAGCTATTGAATTGGTTGAAAGGCAGAAGAACAATGCACATGTCATACACAAAAACAGCAAAAAACAACTTTGACATGCTTATTTGTGAGAGCAAAACGACAGGCGGCCGAAAGCACGTTGTCAATAGCAGTCACCAGTTGCTTCTTTTATAACCACGAAATTAGTTAAGAAAATGTACGAGTTTAAGAAAGCAAATAGCGACAATAATACACATACACACATGCATACATGCATATATAATATTTGTATGTGTTCACTTTGACCTACACAAGCAAAAACAGCCACAATGACGCACAGCCAAGCAATGTGTGTTAAGCGACTTCTCGCCTGGCTCCTGTCAATAGCGGCATCTTTTTGTTCACTGTTTACATATGTACTTGTGCGTGTGGGTGTTTGTGTGTAATTTCACGCGTATAATCGCGCTTCAAGGCAGACAAAATGTTAATTACCATTATAAATTCTTACTGACAATTTTCAGGACACACTTTCAACTTACCGACATCGGCAAGAATAACCACAGTAACAGTAACAGCAACAGCAACCACACAGTCGCAATAACAATTTGCACATCAACACTAATCCTTGACTGAAACCGAGGACGCAACGTTTGAAGGCAAGACAAGTCGTGTATATATAAAAATAAATAAAAGCCTCACAGCGATCTCAACCTAAAGCCACACAAATGCAGCATAACGCGTTCCACATGTACGCCTTGCCCGCAGCTATTTTGCTGCTAGGAAACTGTTGGTATGCATACGCATATGTCGCCTTGCCAGCAGCGGCCGCAGCAGCAGCCGGAGCCGGAGCATCGGACGCCGGCGCAACAGACACGAAGACGTATGCCAAGCATATGGCAGAATTAATGACCGGCACATATCCTGATAGAGCGGCTGCTTCATCGGCGGGTTATTTGAATGATGTAGCCGGAAGTATCGCTGTACTACCACCGCACCAACTGCTGAATGAGCCTAACGGACGTGCTGCGGTCTACGGTGATGGTAAGTTAAAGCAGAATAGAATAGAAGAAAATAAGTAAACAAGATATATGCCCGTATAATAAAATGTGTCAAGGTTATCTTCTTGATGCTGCCGTGTTCAATTGCTAATGTTATAGAAAGAAACGCTTCTGGCACGTGTTCCATCGGAAATAAAAATTTCACTGAACAATAATTGAAATATATACGAATTTTACTGAACTGTATATTTTAGAGAACTTAACGGAAAAATAATCTGAAAAAATATAACTCGCAAGCGCGGATTTGGACAACTTGCCGACAAATAAGCAGTTATAAAATTCTGACTTTAATAGCTCAAAATATTTTAAACTTAGATAAACCAAGAGATAAAATAAATATTTGTAAATAACAGAAAGCTTTCAATCCTGTAAACAAAATCTTCTCCTCATTTCGTTCATGACGTCACGAAACAATGTATTTTTCTGCCAAATATACTTCAAAAAAGTAACGAGACGAAACTGTCATTATCTCTATTTTGATAAATAAATTTGATAAATAACTTTTTTCTTTAAATAGCCCAGCCTTTACTGCTAGCATACTGATCAGCATGACGAGCTGAGTCCATTACGCCATATCTACTTGTATATGTCTGTCCGTATATCTGTATATTAGCGAAGTAGCCCCTCAATTTTTTAGATATCGATATAGAATTTTGCACAAGTCCTCTTCTCCCTAAAAAGCTACTCATTTGTCCGAACCGCCGATATCGGACCATTATAAGATATAGCTGCCATATCAACTGAATGATCGGAATCAAGTGCTTGCATGGTGAACATTTTTGCTTGACAAGATATCTTTACCAAATTCGGCATGAATTATTATCTAAGACAATAATGCAATATCCGAAGAAATTGTTCAGATCAAATCACTATAGCATATAGCAGCCTAGCTGCCGTACAAAGTTTATATGAGGAATATTTTGTATTTGGGAAGGATATACTAGCTGCAATGTAACCGACGTTAACGTTTTTATTTTTTTTGTATCAAGCCCACGTATATCTTGAAATATTTCTGTTGTATTTATAGGCCTTCAGGCAAAACTATGTGTGTGTAATTGATACTTGATATGCTTGCCTTTATCCAAAGAACTATTTTTAAACACAACTTCGAAATAAATGAATAGTTACAGGTTTAATTTTTATTATTATTTTTTTTTTATTTGTTAGTTTATCAGCAATCAATGGCATGGCAGCTGAAAAAGGAAAAAAAAAATGTATTTGTATTGAAACCGCTGACCACACTAATGAATACCAATTTTATTGACCTCACTCATAAAGGTTAATTCAAAGAGTATATTTTCAAATATGACGGGTATTTAATTTCACAAAAGCACTTGAAGGACATAAGAAACTCATATGGTTGATTTTCAGTTGTTATTTAATCATTGAAGTAGAATATAACAAGTTATATACGCATAACTTAATTGTGGTATTATAAATAAACTTCGAAAATCACTCACTCAAAAAATTGGTGTACTAAATTGAATTGTGAAGTTATGTTAAGGGTTTTATTAGAAAGGATTTGCCTTCATTTCAATAACATTACATAATTTATTATTTGAGAAAAAAATTGTATACCAAATTTATACTCATATAAAAAGATATGGAAGCGTATAGATCTAAGTACATAATAAATTCACAGTCAAAAGATTTACAAGTGGTTTATCACATGGGTATAAGCACTTTGCTGCACTGCGAGGATAAACGTTTGTTATGGCCTTGAAATGTTAGCTTAGTCTGAGGCCTCTTCGAACAAACATTAAAGCAAAAATAATTTATCTCAACTTTCGGCAAAACTAAGAGTACTATAGAAAGAAGTTATATAGCAATGCTTTAGGTAATGCAAGTATCTATAACTTTTGTGTATGGACTTTTTTCACATAACCTAAAAATTAATGTAAAAAATTCAAATAACCAAGTTTTTGGGTTTGTTGTTTTTATCTTGTACAAACAAATTTTTTCTTTCACGAGATTTAAACTTACATCCTATATAATAGGTAAACGAAATAAAAACCAGTTTTGTACTAATCTAATACTAGCTTAGAACGCTATTAAAGTTATTTTACTTATACTCATAGAAATATACAAAGATAAGGAATACTATAATACCTTCAGGTGCTTCCCACTAACAAAATATAAATATACAACCATATTTTCCATAATCTGTATAATATTTCACGAACATATCGAAATCGATAACACAAGGACTCGAGGAATAGCAAGCACAAAGCAATATAAATATGGTCATATATAATAATATATTGGGGTGGGTAAAAACAAAATATTTTTGATTCGTTTCGTGTGCTGAAAAATTGACTAATAGACACCTTTAAGAAAGGTTCTCCAAGGAAGCAAGATATGAATTTGTCTATCTAATTATAAGAAAAAAATAGAAAACCGATAGGTGGAGGACATTCCCGTTATAATTAAGAGCTCATACTTGGGAGGTCTCTATCAAATACATTTTCAGAGTACGAAGCGTAAAAAAGCATTGGCTTTTTTGACGCACCCTAATATATATACAATATATAAGTTGATTTTTATTTCATCTTTTGTAGTTCAAATCGTTCTTATTTTACTAACTAAGCGCAGAATTTTTAATTCTAACCAGTTAGTGGTGGTTAATTTATACAACGCACCTCTACAAAAAGTAGTCTAACGGAGTCAAATCACACAAGCTCGGTGGCCAATAGAGGGCCTTTTTCGCGACATAATTCGACCAAAAACAACACGTCCCAATAAAGGGATGATTTCACACGCTTTTTGGCTCGTTTACTTTTTTTTTATTCAACGATTTACCACTTGTATATTGACTAAGGGAGCCAAAAACTTTCAAATCGTCCAGTTGCTCCATCTTCAGTTTTGGAAAAGCCTTCTTGCACACCATTCCCCGCATTAAGATGAGGAGCTCGGAGTATCTTCAAGATATTTTTACAAACCAAATACTACAAATTTTTTTTTATTTTCGTAAGGCTATATATAGGCATAAGAATGATACTATATATGTATATGAATATGATATCTTAAAATCATAGCATTCAGAACAACTTTATTAAATTATGCTTAAATTGAGATTAAATTAAGAGTTTAAAGAATACAAGCATTTTTCGCCTAAAAATATCGTAGCATTCAGAACCAATTAAAAATAAAACATTGCAAGTAAAAATTTAATTCATACCATTCATTTAACTGCTCATAGTTATCAATTTTGCTAACAAAAAATCTAATTTGTAAACTGCAGTTTTTAAAAATATTTCAAAGTAACAAAAACTCAATTTATAGAACAATAACCTCCATCAGATTTTGTATATTTTGCAATTCCGCTTTCACCGAAGATATTTTTACGTACAGGCTATAAATATATACATATGTTATATGCGTAGATTGAAAGGCCAGCATAATCTATTGTTAAGGTTAAGTAAAATGTGTAAACAACAGTTGCCGAACCGCCGGGTAGGCTGTGACTGCAGCTGCGTTTGACGTAAATGAAGTTAAACGAGTAGTAAACCTACAATAAAAAGCCCTATACATGTTCGTATGTACATAAGTATATGTGTGTACCAGCAAATTTTATCATGCATGTATTTACATAGCATAGTTACAGGCGTTCATATGAATATCGCAGCCCTGCACTTGCCTCCTAAACACGATTCACTTACGCAAAATGCAGGGATTTGTTGCATAACTGTTAGATGCGCACTTTATAGATGCAAAAAAAAACAGTAAACGCCATCAGTTTACAGAAACTTTTTCGTTTCGAAAAAAATATTGGATATTTTGTAATTTAGTGTTTTCATTATATATTAGCTTCATTAAATTACTATTTTTATTAGGCATATTTTCTTTTAATTTCATTTAAAAGTTTTTAATTGATTTTTTAATTCATTTGCCGTATATCATTTGAATATTTTTTTACAACTTTTTTTCATAAATTTAAGCCTGAAGGAAATATCCTCTTAATTGTATAATTAGAAATATTATTGCAAGCCCAGCATTGCTTTCACAGCTCATGCACTTACACAAACAGACATGTGTTGTCTATTTTAAGCTCAAATCAACAGTTACAGAAATAACCGTATGGCAAAAATCAACCAATTTCAATTTCCGCTTCACTGCTGCCAATTATTTCTTGAGCACTTTCACGCATGCTGATCACACACACATGCAATTGCACATGCACGAAAATTGTAAATACTTGTATGTGACTACAATACCTAAACGTAATGTCAGCATGAGCTCGTTCAGATATAAGTTTTGCTTTTTTGACACCAATGTATATACCCTTGAATGCCATAAGCCTTTTCCACATACCACGGCCACTTTCTGACCATTGATTGACCGCTAAATGACAGCGTAATGGCCATAGCAGACAAGCTAGATTGAAGAGAGAGCCGGTAGGATTACTTGCCGCATTATGAGTGTTTCAGAGTGTGGCAAACATTGTATATATATACAATATAATATGTATATTTGTATAAAATATATGTATACAAGTGTTTAGCTAAATATGTGTTTATTTATGACATATTCTGTTTTGTTTAGCATTTTTAAAGAGAGTATTTAAGAAGAGTAGAGTGTTTGTTTAAACGCTAAGCAGCAAAATCTGCCATAAAGTACAGACAAAACAACCGCAAGGTTTTCAGAATACAATCTCAAGACTTTCCAAGATTAAATATTTTTTATATATAATATAATATATTATATCCCTCATAAAATTTTCTTAACCACACACTCTCTTCTTATACAATAACAGAGCTACTCCGCGCTTTGAACGCCGAAACTGCCATCAATGGCCAAGAACTCGGCACACTACCCGAAGAGCCTGATTACGCTGATACTGTGTTTAACGAACTGGAAGTGGCAAACAAATATGAAATGTTACATAAATTGGAGAAAGATTTGCGCGCGGAACAGGAAATCGTTACAAAATCAGCTTTGTTAATGAAAATGCTCGAGGATCCGAATATGCAAACGCTGCCGGTCATTTATGTTGAGGAGGAGGACGATGACGAACCATCTGACGAAATTGCCGAATTGAACAGTAATAATGTGGCATATCGCTTAGGCGGCATGGGGGCTGGTGTGGCAAAGCGCTCGCGCTACTACCGTCGCTATCCTTGGAAGCGGCACAATAGGAATCGCAGGTGAGAAAGAGCGGAATAGCAATTGAGAAATTAGCGTCAAAATTAAGTTGTTATTTACGCATTTCTTGTCCATTTCTGCTTTATCTTTTTAGCACTTACGAGCCAGAATTGCGTTATGCTTGCACGCCCACCAAAGAGGATGTCTTCAAGCTGCTAATGAACCTGCATGAAAATCGCAAAGGCAATCACAGTAAAACTGTAAACTTCTGCAATCGTAAGCGTCCAGCCAAAGCCATTTTCACCAACATACGTTTTCTGGGTTAAACTGGACGGCGATGCGGTTGAACAAATATCTTTAATGAGGCAACGGAATAATACGAACTACAAATATTTTAAATCGATGCTGACGTGAAAACGAAAACAAAATGTGGAGGAAGCAATTATGAATATATTGTGTTTGCACGGAACTTGGCTGGAAGCAATTGTTTACAAAAATTAGCATAGCTTTTTAACATAATTCCCAATCAAAAGTCTATATGTATATTTAAATTGAAGTAAAGTAAATTCAGTAAACACAAAAAAACTAAAAAAAAATTGTAAAATATACATACAAATTTATTTGGAGAAACAAAAGAATTGTAGGCCCTTAAGCAGCTATAGAGTGTAGAGTTCTAGTGTAACAGTTTTTTGGAGTTAAACATTTACAAAAGTATATATATATTATATAAACAGTATTTTAAATAGTTAACGTAAAAGTGGCAGCTAAACACAGCATTGTTAGCATCAAATATTTTATTCACAAAATTATAGCTGTAAATGCAGCACACATATGTATGTATATAATAAATAATTTTTGGAAAAAATAATAATATTAGTATTTTGAAAGCTCTGATTATAAATGCAGTAAAACCCAAGGCACTTTGAACGGTTAACAGCAGCATGTATTTTGTACTTGCTTTTGGTGTGTAGCATGTCAAAACTTTACAATGTCTTGCGTGCAATTTTAACCTTTTAGAAACCAAAGCAAATGAAAACAATCAAAATTATAACACAGCTGCTACGAACTCTTTATAAAAACATAATAATTTTGCAACGTAATTTGCAATTCAAAATATTAATAAATTAATTAGTTAATTAAAAATGTTAATATGATAACAAACAATTTCGAAAAAATATATGTAAAATGCATAAATAAATATCGATAATATTAGCGTATGTCTTAGTTGTACGCAAAGCAAACTGAATTTAATTTTAGCAAACTTGTTAATGACTATGAAATGGCAACCGCAAAGAAATTATTACCCCACATACATATACGAATATGCAACATTGCACTCAAAACTTGTGTAGTTGCGAACAGTATCATATCAATTAAATTTTTCTCCTTAAAACCTAGCGTAATCGTTGACAATTGGATTTATGCACATACTATTTAAAAATGTATTGAAATCGCAGGCATATGCTGGTGTATATAATGTCAAGTACTATAATATATATGTATGTATGATAACTAATTGCAAGTTAAATAAAAAATACAAACCCTTAAGCGCACGAAAGGATGTAATTTAATTTTAAATTTAATTCGAACTTGTACATACCTTGATACTATTTACTAAACACTACCACAAATAGATACATACGCATATATACATAGCCAAATATTTTCGTTTAATTGTATGTAGTTGTGGCTCTGGTTTGTTTACTTGTGCACATATACTTATGCACACAAATGTAAGTATATATATAAGTCTGTATATACACTCAAAATTTCATCACTAGTTATTTACAAATGCAAAAATAAAATATACGTTACAAATATACATACGTATATGAGCACTATTGTTCGACCAAAGCATGAGTTGTTCCTCTAAAAAATACACAAAGAAAATATACTATATAAATACAATTGCAAATATGAATTTGTATGCATGTACATAAAAAGCATGAAAAGTTATTATGTAAGACACATGTATTATTAAAATAATAAAACTAATAACTAATATAATATTAATAAACGGGACTAATGACTCTTATTAGTCCGTCGAAACTCAATGTTGAACACTTTATTAAGAGCTGAAGGTTGGGTAAGGGGGATATTTTTATGAGGTCTTGATATAAGAAGATTAAATACTACCTACCTAATAATGCTATTAACAGCAACTTCTTCTCATTTACATTTTTCAGTATTTTAATAGCGGTTCGTAGTTCTAGTGTTAAGAAAAGTGCAAGCCGTCAATATAATTTTCGCTCGTTCTTATGAGTGAACTCACTGTGAGCTGTCTGCAGGCAAGACCACATTGAAATTTATACTTTATTTCTAACCTTTAAAATTCGCTACACAAAATCTTCGTAGAATTTATCAAAAATTTATAAGATTTTGTGGAAGCACTCTGCACAGAAAGCACAACCTAAATTTGGTCCGTGGTGTCATGATTGGAAGTACAGCACCAGTTTCTGTCCAACATTAAAGAAATGTTTGCATGTACCCCTCTAATGTACGTCTACCAAATTTCTCATAAACTGAAAGCTCAAGGTGTGTGACAATATAGAGGATATTGGCAAAGTAACAAGCAAATATTTAAGCGGTTACTGTTATCTATCTACGAAAACAGTTCGTATGGAATGTAGCATCAATGGGACAATTGGTTCAAAAGATATTTGGTACCAAAGATTTACCTGATTAGAGTTATTCTCCGTGTCTCAAATCAATAAAAACGCTGAGAATATTGCCTCGAATTGGCTCCGCGTTCAAGAAAATGTTTGCCAAATATTTCGTAGAATAGTGTTAACTAATGAAACCGAGTTCTGCTAAAAAATTTGTTTTTCTATTAGATATAAGTTATAATAAAAGTAATTGTTATCCGTTTAAAGACAACATCATGCCATTGTTGGATACGGCTTTCCATAATTAGCGCCAATATCGTAAAATTGTTAAAAAAATATGTTTTTGTGCATTGTTTTTATGTGTAAAATATATATATGTGTGGCAGACAATAGCAATAATATATGTAGTATCCTAGCAGTAAAAAATAATAGTTGCACATTCTATATTACATGTTATGAACATCAAGCCCATTAGTTCAGTCGACTGCTTTTCACCTAGCAGATAACTGGCATTTCTTAATATGGTTAGAAATTTGCTAGTCTCATACTAATTCAAAATATATAAAAAATAATGTAATTATGTTACAAAACCGCTAGTTTGCGCTTCAAAAAGTCTTAAAACTCTTGAAAAATAAAAATAAAATTTGTTAATGAGAAATATTTTTCTTATAGGTGCAAGTAAGGCAATTTTTAAACCAGTTCATATGAAGTCCGAAAATATTAGTTGCTGGCTAGTATTTTTCGGACCAGTTTCATATATTGCTGCAGGCAACTTATGAGTGACGTGTCTCATATATTTAATTTTATATGTAGAAACATATGTAAATGTGTCACAATGCTATAAAGTCAAGGTGTTCTTAGCACACACGCACTTTTTAATCTTGTTATGATTCGTCTTCTAATTTTCCACAAAAACATTGCAACACACTCTCACAAAAGCGAACATACATACATATCTATGTTTGTAAACAAAATAATGTCATAAAGTCAACGAGTTAACGAATAGGTATGTCATATATGCAAACTAACACGTTGCACCAAATTTAAGTGCACAAACAAATGTGAAGTGATGTGAGTTCGAGCGTTCGCAATGAAAGATCATCTTTGAAGGTGTGGCAAAGAGAGTAAAGAGATAATTAGTACATGGCACCATTTTCACTTTCGTTTGCGGTGATATACATACATACCTGCATACAAATTTTGAATTTGATATTGACATACTTGTATACAACGGTACTCACATGTACCATACATTTTTATAAGTATGTTTCAAAAAATATAAACAACTATTTTAGCTACACAATCGCTCGTATATATATAAATCTCTGTTTAGGTGTTTATGCGAGCACAGCTGATGCTTAAGCTCTTTTATCTGATACCAGCACCACTGGCATATTTCACACATTGGTGCGATAACAAAACAGCAACAACAAAGAAAACTTTAAAATACAAACACTTTGGAGGTCTACATTTATTTTGAGCTCGAGCAGCTCGGCGTTTTTATTTCGTTTATCTTACACACATGTGTACACAGCATAATCTCTTTATTGCATAAGAATTCGTGTATCAATCTCGGTATCTCCTTAACCGAAAACGTTGCTGAACCAGCTGCGCAACGGTGCATAACAAGTGGGCTTGGTTATCCACAATCTATCCACGGTCAAGCGTAGCGCATCCATTGTCGAGTAACTGCAACGGTCGCGCACCGCTGCTGACGGCGTTACTCCGTTGCGATCCACATCGTCCGGCTCATCGTTAGCACGTAAACGACCAAACGCCTCGTCGCCGTCAAAGTAATAGTATTCTTTGCGCGTCGAATTAGTTTCGACCACGGTCATTGGTTGGTTTGTGCTCGCCGCCGCCGCAATCGAGCTCGAAGTGCGCGCATGGCGATACAGCGGTACTGGTGGCACACCAAACGGTGGGAATGGGCTTGGCATGCCGGCGTATGGCTGCTGTGTTGCCGGTGGCCAAAATTGTGGCTGTTGTGTCGTCAAGAAGGGATTAACGGTTGGAGTTTGTAGTGGATGATATGGTATCTGGTCAGGTGGTAAGTGCGTTTGTGGTTGTTGCGCAAAGTAGGATGGCTGCGGATAGGCGGGCAATTGATGTCGGTTAAATGTGGTTTGATGTACGGGATTATGTACATTTGGGTGGTTTATAGCGTTCAGTTGACCGACACTAACTTGCCCTTGTGTAACGCCTGGGCGTGAGACAGTTGTCGGTGTATCATGTGCCGGCCGTTGCGGTTGTACAAAGGCGGTGTCTTGGCATTCCTCTTGGTAGATCTCAAGCAAGAAACCACTCGACGATAAGCCCGAATAGCCCATACGCATGCGTATCTGCTTAGCGCCTAAACCCCAAGGACTTGTGTAAATATAGCCGGTGCGACAACCGCAAAAGCGTTCGCCATTGATTTCGATAAAGTCTTCGGTGCAGACATCTCTACTTGTACTAATGGCCACATTGATATTCCCCTGCGTTGTGCCAGTGCCCACATAAGTTTGACCAAAGTCGAAAAATTTGAATTCTATGCGTAGACGACATATGTTATCCGCATTTTTTTCCAAGCCGAATTGGCAATCACGTTGCTGCGTTGGCAAAAGTGATGTGAATGCAGTGCGCGGAAAGCCCGGGCTGGAGAGATAAAAGCGCTTCTGATGAAAGTATGATGTGCAACAATGCTGTGTGGATGCCGTTGTAACAACTGCTTGAGTATTATCAAATAGTGCACTGTCTTCCTGTAAGGTTGCCGGTTGCATAGCACCAAAAGGAACACCACCGAACGGTGCGTTATGTGGTGGCAGCGCGGTAGGTTGCAAACCAGCTAATTGAGCGCCAGGTAACGCTGCACCGAAAAATTGTTGACGCGGTTGCGGCTCATTTCCCGACTTAACTAACGATTTAGTTTTCAATATCTGCTCTTGTTCTTCTCCTAGCTGCTTACTTTGCGCGCCCAACTGCCAATCACTTACATATTGATCAGAGCTCACAAGCGTCTGCACATTATTACTTCTATAACCTAAGACTGGGTATTGTGGATATGTCGGATATGGACTCAAATATGCTTGCTCGGGCTTGCAAGGCTTAATGCCTTCGTTAAGTTTATTGTATTGTGGATTTAGCTGCGGCCCGTATAAATTACCAAAGGCGGGCGGTGGCGGCGCTGGTAAGTTCCAACCGAATAACGGAGGTGTGGGGTACGGTACATGCTGTGCTACTTGTGTCCAATTACGAAATAATTGCGGCACTATGGCCTGCGGTGGTTGGAAATTGGACGAGGGTGCTAAAATTTCTTCGGTATCCTCGTCATTCGTATCGAGGTTTTCGCGTAAATAATCCTCGCGCTCGCAAGCCAAGCGAGTGATCAACAATTTAAAGCCACGCGCAGTCGTCCATGGCGAGCTGTCCGAAAAGAAACGCAGCCGCAGTATACCGCCCGGTGTGTGATACTTTTTTATGCCAATTACTTGACCGCACAGCAGATCCATATCATCGCCATCATTCTCCACACCAATAGCTAAATAGTCGTTTGTGCAATTCGCCGACGATTCAAGATGAAAATCTAAGAATTGTATATGGAACTTTGTTGGACAACGGTAAGGCGAGCGTATCACGTAATCCCAACAGGCACTTATCGGATAATTATTTGGATAATTCGGTGACTCCACAACGCTCTGTCGTGTCTTGTAAACACCCGATAGGCTGCACTGCGGCAACTCATCATGCGTCGCGCCACTGACTAGACAGCTTAAACCGAGTAGAAGTATTAAGCGCTGCGCGCCAAGGATGCGTTGTGATTTCCCTAAGTCCAAAATCATTTTTAATTTATGATTGGAAAACTGGCAACCGAACACATAAGCTAACGTCGCGGAAATTGAACCGTTTTGAATGCGAACCCGGTCGCAACTGAAGCGACAAGTGATATTGTGGCGTGTAATTGCCGGCAACCAAACTCATCTCAAAAACTGATTTTCGCCTAAACTTTAAAGCAAACACCGGCGCTTAAACGCTTAAGTTGTGCTCTGCCGAACTATCGACTACTAACACATACGCATGTACGAGCTATTGTGTGTGTGTAAGCAGAATAGCAAAAGGTGCGAAACGCCGCTTAAAACTAAATGTTTGATCTTTTGCCACAAAATACAAATGACAAATACACAAAAATTTACTTTAAACAATTTGTTCGTTTGTTTTACTTCAGCGCTCTTTCTTCATATATTTTTTCTATTTTTATTTTTACGATTTTCTTTGAAAGCACAACAAAAGCGCTCTTTTATTCCAGCATAGTTTTGGCGTACTCATATTCAGAAATAAAATTAAAAGTAAAATACAACAACATCAACTACAACAACTGTAATGTCAACAAGTGGAATGAGTTGAATGCTCACACCTCTGCCTAAGCTATTGTTTCCGGTCAATTAGACTGACTCGCATATTTACACACCAAATCACAGATATTTTACATACATACAAGTATATACATATATAGCAACATCTTTAAATACATTCTTGCCATGGAGTGCAATTTTTGCAAAATATGCGAACTGTAAATAAGCTTTCGTTTAAGAGAGACATATATAGTCAATTAGAAATAAGTCATTTGAAATTCAAAGTTTTGAGGTTAAAAAACTCAGTGATTCGCCAGATATCGCTTGTTCTACCAGACTTTTAACACAGTCTTCGATTTGTAAAAGCAGTTAAAGCGGAAACTTAGTCTAGTTTTCTGTCAAGTGAAGTTAGCCGCGATTTTATAGAGAATGCCACTCAGCACATTAGGACCATATGCCTAATATGCAAGTTTGACAGTATATACAATACTTTGTCAAACTTACAAGTTGAAGCGTATTACTAAACTTGTGTATATTATTGAAATATTATCTCAACTAAAACTAGAACTTTAGTAAAACAGCTTTTCAAGCAGCAGCACTCTGTAAATTTAAAGTACAATACATATCTTTTAGAAATTTATATCTTACGCAGCTTTTCTTTTGAAGGAAAGTGTAGTATTTAGTGCTACCATGTTTGCAACGAAGTTTGTAATAGCCATAAGGAAAGGACGGATACCCCACAAAGTATAAATATATACAAATGATCAGCGTACCGAGCTGTGTCAACTAAGCTGTACCCGTCTGTCGGTTTGTCCGCCTTACGTATATACGCGAATTAACGATTTTCCTGTTTTTTTTTTGCATTTTAGAAAGCTTTTGTACAGAAAAAGGTTATAACAATATTAGACGTCATTTAATAAACATTATGAAGCAGATATAGAGATGTTCTTGTTTGGAAACCTAAATGAGTTTATTTTATTCCAAATAAGTTTTTAAAATTTTATACCGTACTAAAATGTCATATGTCAAATGCCTGTGCAATTTATTTACATACAATAATAAAAAAGTAGTGTAATTATAAAAAATAATTTTTTGTCATTTAAATCATGCAATGTTTTCTGTTGTTCTTGTTTGCTCAGCTGTCTCAAAGGGTTATAAATTATGCCTTCCATTTTTACAGAAATTTATTTACAATATTTTATTTCTAATCAATTAATATTTTTTCAGTTGCAAGCTCTTACAAACAAAAGCTACCTGCTAAAACCTTATAGGAATTCCATAAATTTTTATACTCCTGCAACATGTTGCTACAAAGTATAATAGTTTTGTTCACCTAATTGTTGTTTGTATCACCAAAAAATAATCGGGATAGATATGGAGTTATATACTTATACAACGCCATTAATCGAAAACCCATAACTAAATCGGGCTAAATCGGACAAAAACCACGCCTACTTACCATATAACACAATTTTCAATTCCATCAAGAATCATTCACTTTCCAGTATACAAATTAAGAACCAATCAATATATCCGACTAAAGCTTTGCACAAATAGTGCCTTAGAAGTGAGTCACCTTATGACCCTATTGCGAACTATTTATCGAAAATGTTAGTCTATCTGTCAAAGACATTATTAAAATTAAGAAAAAGAACGGGATCAATACTCCCTTTAGCCCCCATATACCTATTATAAAGATTTTCGAACTTCCAGCTGATTTTACGCCGCATATGTCTTAAAGAAACTCAGTGAGTATCTTTTTCTGTTAATAATATGTCGAAAAGCCAAAAATGGATAAAAATCAGCTAAATACTTCCCCTATCTCTCACATACGTAATACGTAACGCAAGTTGCAACAGTATGATATATTCGGTTACACCCTAACTTAGCGCTTCCTAACTTGTTCTTAATACAAGTGCGTGAAGTTGCATTAAAATATGCATAAATATTCGCATACAAATGGAGCAACAGTAAAACCTTGATAAATTTATAACTCCGAAAAAAATACGCTTATACATACTTACATGTTTGTTTACATATAAAATTCGAATGTAAATTACTTGTAAGAACTTGATGTAATTTTTTGAATTAAAAAAAATCTTTGAATGCTCACCGACACCTTTTAACATTCAGCAACAAAGTCTGCATTTCAGGGATATTTTTTTTTCACTGCTTATAGGTTCTATTTAACTCATTAATACGATATTGATGTATAATGAAACTATGAAAAAAATATATAATTTAAATTATATAAATTTATGTATATTAAAAATATTGTTCTATTTAGCCCAGCAGCACTATTGAAAAGGTTTTTTTTTTTAAATTTAGTATGTAGGTACATATGTAGTTTCATTATTTGTTTGCGATTTCTCCTTTTAGTCATCGTACAAAAGCATATTTGCACGCATATTCATGCATTTAAACTTTTTACACAAACCCACACTATCACAGAAAAAAACATAAAGAGAGTCGACATATGTACATACAAATGTAGTAAAGTCAATATAAAAATTATAATAAATCAAATATTGTGCAATTATGCGCAAATATCTACAGAAAAACATATGAGAGTGGGTGTAAAATGCCTACGTCGGTACCTACATATGTAGGTATTCTGGCGAGCATTTGCTTGGTGTTTCGTCGTAACTCTAATGGCTCTAATGGAGCTGCGTTAAACAACAGCTTTACACGAAAATAAATCCGCAACAAATTTTATATTTATGTTAGCTTCTATTTACACTTTCACATACTCCTACATATGCAAATTACTTTACGCTTGATGGCAGCTTCCACAGTTAACTCCTTTGTTTATGGAGTTTATGATAACACCAACAACAATAAAGTAATTTTATAGCTTAAATAGTCGCATAAGCTGCGAAAAGTAAACGCTACGGGCTGGTTTGATGAGTGAGGTGACCCACACGTGGTGCATAGTTAATGGCGCTCGTGGGCTGCGCGTATGCGTATTGTCGCCACAATCTCATGTTGATGTTCCACTGAAATATCGAAGGCAACAGTTGCGGTAACATAAGCAGTGTTAATGTGCATATGTATGTGTCAGTTTAACTGCCTAACAAATTTTCACGGACTTTATGGACCGATTTCATATACTCTTTTTTAATCACATACACACGCATACGTATGTGTAGACGTAATTGCATAAAGCGAACGAAACCACAATATTTTGGCTCCTATAGCCCGTTGCTTGCTAGGAGCTACTAAAGTTAACGTGATGGTTAGCTTGTCGTTATGACGTAGAGATTCAAAATACTCTTCTAAAGCATACGCCTTACTTTCTTTATTGTTATATATTGAAGCGTCGGGTAATTTTTCATTACAATATATTTATACTGTAATAAATATTTACTTTTTATTATTCTTTCTTCTGTTCTTAAAGAAATTAGGTTACTCATACGCCATGGAAACTTAAAATATAAAAAAAAAATTGTTTATCGACCGTCTGCAGCGTAACAACGTTTCGTTTCTTCGCACTCACATCTTTCACTTCATTTTTCATCACTCTTCCCTCTCTGACAACCAATAAATTTCCGCTGTCATATTAATAGTTATAACAGTTATAACTTTATCCAGCCGGTAGTTAATCGTTTAAACCGGTTTCGTCTTAATCAAGCAAAGTACTTGTAAATGTAAATATTGTAAGCTGCGTAATAGATGCATAAACATATGTACAAACATACAGACATATGAAGATTAAAATTGAGCAAATACCATTTATATGTTAGCATATCTGATAAGTACAAGTATGTCAAATGACTAAGAAAATAAATATTTTTGTAGCAAATGCGGAAGTGAATATATTGGCCACTAAGCCACACCAAAGTATAACTGTTCATACATCCTTTGCGCTGTAAATAAACTGTAAAACGAAAATATTTAGCCATCTGTCGCTGATTAGATTTCGTAACTGTGTCGCATATTGCACGCACTTAGCCAGTCATGTAGACCAACAACAACAGCAAACTAAAACTTAGTCATTTTAAAGTACACTATTTTAGCTATCATTTCACGAATGTCAAGTTCAATTACATACATATGTATATGGTATACACAAGGTAAAGCCGCCAAGCTTGATCTTGAGAAATTCTAAAATGTTTATTGGCTCTGATGAATGTGACAAATTTCTTGAAGATATCTCGTCAAAGAAAAAAGTTTTCCCTACAAGCACTTGATTACGATTGTTCAATTTGTATGGCAGCTATGTATATATTATATAGTTGGCGATATCAACACATGAGCAGCTGCTTGGGAAGAAAAGGAAGTATAGAAAATTTCAGAACGATATGTCAAAAGCTGAAGGACTAGTTCGCATATATACAGACGGATATGCCTAAATCGACTCAGCTCGTCACGCTGTTCATTTATATACACATATCCTCAATAGGCTCTTCTACCTATTTCAGGGTATAAAAATATTGCAATTAATAATGATGTTTATATTAAAGTCGCTACCGATTTTGTTCCCAATGAGTTGTATTTCCGGCATAGAAAATTAATTCTAATTTTATTTGTACAGCTTTTCAAACTCATATAGGTCATGGTTTGATATAGTCCAACAAACCAGCAAGTTGCCTTCGGCATGCGGCTAAATTTCAATAGTTTGCCAGATGCCAAAACAAAAAATTTCATAAAACACTTACATATTATAAAACAGTAAGAACACCATCTGGTCAAATTTAACTCGGATCGGCCTATTTAAATTATGCGCTTAAACCGAATCGATGAAACACAAAGTTTTTATGTTTGATTGAAGTTTGATATCCATATGTCAATTGTGTAGTGTGTATTTGAATGTCAGTGAACGT